AATGCTCAGAAGGACCACTTGGCTCTGGAGTGTGAATCCAATTACATTTGGTAGATATTTAGTATCGTTAGCAGGCTTACAGTATTAGTGTATGCTTAGCAGTGGAGGTTGGCTAAGGATTCAGAAATTTTGGCAAACATCACTGCGTTTTAGAGGCTGAGAATAACAATGTCTTGTATTCCAATGAGTGTGCCTCTAAGGGTTCGGACAGCAGCTATCAGAATAGGGAACTTGTACTCACTATATTACTAAAGCCAAGCCATTTCCTTCCTCTGACTTCTAGAGTATCTTATTGTGACATGGAAATTATTATTTGCAGCAGTGAGCAAGGAAGTTGCACCTTACTGTGTACTGTTACCTAACAGCCCAGCATCATTTTTATAAGGTGTGTAGTTACATGTAATGTCACACTTTTCTGCCCCATATGCCAGATACTACATCCATTGTGGTGGGAGCTGTATACTGTGGCGCTTTGTTTGCAGACCAAATATATATATATATATATATATATATATATATATATATTTTTTTTTTTTTTCTTAAAGAATTAGTCCACATGAAGCTGATAATTCAGTTCTTAGTTGACACTAGAGAGATAAACCACTTGACCATCTTTTTACATTTCTTGGAGACTATATTGGTGAGATTTCTGCACCTCAATTCTTAGGTCACTTGCTGTGGCCATTATTAGAGAATTCTCATTTTGATTTATTTTATGTTGAAGTGGAACAAATTATAAGTCACTATTAACAGTGTGTAATCCATATGCTGCTACCATTATTAATAAGATAGGAAGATATATTTTATTTGATTGTTTTACCTTTTTACATCCTTCAGTTGCTTCCTGGTATCTGGCCTATGTCAAAATGTATTTATTTATTTCAGGTACTTGTATAGCGCCGTCAATGTACACAGCGCTTTACACATATATATTGAATATTCACATCAGTCCCTAACCCTCAAGGGGTGTACAGTCTAAGGTCCCTAACTCACATTCATACATACACAAAATGATGTCATACATCCCAGGAGTCTTCATGGACATTTTTTTTCTGTCATCTGCAGGAGAGTGGAGTGGCTTAATTCTAAGCACGCCCTCCTGCCTGCATGCCTGAGCTAAGGGCAGATGATGGATTCCAGGAAGTAAATGCTACATGAATCAATTGTATTTTCTTAAGTTGGCCATGGCCAGAAATGCTAAGGAAGAGGGGGGGGGGGGAAGTGATTTTTAAAAACAAAATAAAACAAGGAGAAATTAATGGATGGGTGAGTTTGCTTTAAATATTGAAAATTAATTAATTAGCATTTTCAGTTTGTGGTGCTAAGATAGAATTTAGTTTTGCTTAAGTAGAATGCATTAGGAGTAGCTTGAACATGCTAAGGTGGGCAGGAACAGCTAAAACTTTCAACTAGAACATCATTAGAAATAGTCAAATAATGGGAGAATAATCTTTCTATTGGATATCCACATCAAGCTTCACCTGCCACAAAAACATAACTTTTGGTGGAACCTCTCTTTAAAGCTGAAGTCCTTGTTTCATAAAGTAGAATCCCCTTATATATGGTTATATGGTATAATGAGAACTTGGTTACCCTTAGAGTGCAATATCACTGTGCCACGACCTAACCTACTGATGCTGCCTTGATAACATTTTATCAGTCTGGGTCTAAGATAGGTCTTAAATGTGTCACATTTAAAATGCTCTAAAACCATCCTCATATAGTAAATGGAATACATCAACTACCTCCACTGCCTTTACATTATCTTTACATTACATTGGGGGAGATTTACTAAAACTGAAGCACTCAGAATCTTGTGCTGCTGTGCATGGTAGCCAGTCAGCTTCTGACTTTAGCTTGTTCAATTAAAGCGACATTAAACCTTTGTTTTTTTTTTTTACTAAAATAACAAACATGGTATACTTACCTGCTCTGTGCAGTGGTATTGCACAGAGCAGTCCATATCCGTCGCTTCTTGGATCCCCCGCTGGCGCTTCAGGCTCCTCCTCTTCGGCAGGTGTTCCCATGGAAAGCCACTTTACATGGGTGCACCCATGCAGGCTCACACTCCCGAGCAACCCTGTCTTTGTCCATTGACACAAAGCGGGCAGCTTGGCCCTGCCACCTGCTGGCTCTGCACATCATTTGATTGACAGCAGTGGGAGCCATTGGCTCCTGCTGCTATCAATCTGCCAGGGAGGAGGTAGACAGCAGCGAGAGCTGCTGCTCTTGTGCACATCGCTGGATCGGATCGGACTCAGGAAAGTATAAGGGGGGTTGGAGGCGATCCTGCAGCACAGAAGGTTTTTAACCTTAATGCATAGAATGCATTATGGTGAAAAGCCTTAAGGCTTTAGAACCACTTTAAGCTTTGGCAATAAAACCTGGAAGCTGATTGGTTTCTATGCAAAGCTGCAACAGATTTTCAACTCACCAGTTTTAGTACATCAACCCAATGTGTTTATCATAACATTATTGGAACACCTTTAAACAGAGCTGTTAACTTCTGCAATAGACTATAAAGCTGAACAGATGCATAAGGAAAACATGTATCAGTTTTGTTGCAAGATAATGCTAAACAAAAGAAGTGGGATTGTGAATCAGAATTATAATTTAGCAGTACCATTTTTAAATTCCTCCCTCTACCACTCTAAAGTACTGGGACAGAATAAAATTTCACTCTGATCACTTCTTAATCATGCATCTGTTTTAGCAAAAATCACTTTCATTCTGAAAAAATCTGTTTCAACTCCCATGGTAATTTTTTTGCAGATCTTTGCAAAACTGTGTAAATTTGCTATTGAGGATTACAGACTCAGGGGTTGAAAAAACTGTTGCATAGACTTTGCGTCATGCAACTTCATTTGCGTCTTTTTTGTTGCGAATTTGACTCATACATGTCCCTGCACTTTATAACTGTCTTATGCTCTCTATGGTAATCATCTATGTTCATATAAATATAAATGAATATACTGTATACACAGTTTATATACACACACACAAATATACTGTATATTAATTTTCATAAGACTGTATTTACTGACCTAGAATATGCTCACTTTGCCTTTTAAAACTGTGATAATGATTTAGTTCATGCTAATTATATGCTCTGAATGACCGCACGCTGCTTCTATAAATATTAGGCCTCATGCATACTGCAGCTCAAAAAAGCTGCAGTTTCAAGCATTTATGCTTTTTTTTTCCTCTACCTGTAAACTCCGCTCCATATTAGCCTATGTGTCCATGCACACTGTATTTTCAGGAGTTTAGTGGCAGGGGAGTGTACAGGCAGAAAACCCCCCATCACTTGTGCATTCAGAAGAGGACCTTTTGAGCATAAAGAAATTCTGAAAAGTGCACTCCCACGTTAATGCATTCTAATGGCCAGAATTCTGTCCACTAGAATGCATTAACACCAGATGTGGGAATGTGAATTAACGCCCACACAAAATGTGGGTTTTTACCATGTTTTTGATGCTGAAAAACTCCTGTTGGACAAAAAACATTTTTTAAGCTTGCAGCATGCATGAGGACTAATTCATTACCCTTCCTCATTTTACATAACTGTGTAGGTGCTTGACGTATACATTAGACTCAGTGGCAGAGTTTTTTGCTACCAATGGGGAAGTGTGATCGCATAGATTCATAGTTAAAAAAATATATATAATATAATCTATATGATATTTTCTGTGAAGCTCACTTGTGGGAGCCTGTTTGCTAACTATTTTAGCCGGATTTAAATACTATTCCATAGCTATCTGGCATGACAACTTGTTAAAAAGGTGATTGCACCTGCTAAACTGGGAAAAAACTTGCTAAATTTATAAAAATTTACATTCAGCATGCTTATGTTGCCATACTAAACATGATAACTGTCTGTAGCACTTTATCAATGTGCCTTACTTTATTAAAATACAGGAAAAGGGCTAAAGCTGGTTAGAAAAACAAACATACAGTAAATTGCAAATATGCAAGCTGACATTCATAGATCCTTTAGATTTACTGTATCTGCTTAAGTTACAAAGACAATTGAATATTCACAGCTGTGTCTGCATGACAAGCAATACAACTTGAATTGACTCATGATATCCCATATAACAATTCTGGTAAATAGGGACCGTTGTGAGCTCTTTATTGCTCCATCTCCTGTCATAGCTCTCTAATAATTACTAGATAGCAGCTTTGAAAACTGTGTAAAGACTGACATTTTACCTTCAGAAGTTGGTCTATGTTCAGCCTGTCCTATTTCTCCTTTCCTGATTGGCCGGGATTTTTTTTTTTTTTTCGTTGGCTGACCTCAGCCAATAGAAAAAAAATAACCCCAGTGAATGGAGAAAGAATAGTGAAATTAAAAGGAAGATGGTCCAAATGTAATGTTTCACCATACTAAGTAGCTACGTGCTACATATTCTGTTAAAGGAGAACGAAAGCAATAAGGAACTTACAACAACATTGTCTATACACAGGTCCTGTTGGGTGGGATAGCAATAGTTATGACCAGGGGCGGACTGACCATTTGGAAACTCGGGCACTACCCGAGGGCCCAGGGTCAGTAGGGGGCCCCATGAGATGCCCCTGGTACCTTTTTCATAGGCTTTTTTGAGTTTGGGCAAGGACACAGGGGCCCCATGATCCCCTATTGCCCAGGGGCCCCATGAGTTTTCAGTCCGCCCCTGGTTATGACATGTGTCACTTTAATGTTTCCTATTAATGCAAAAGATACTTCAAGAGCCTGTATGGGAATATGGAGTCATTGTACTGTAAGTATTTACGTAGGCGATTATTACACAGCCTGTACTTACAATGTCTCTGCTGTCAGTAAACTAGACTAATAACTTAAGTGAGGAATTCTAAAGAAAATCTTTGGTGCTTTCTCTGTTTGCTCTCTCATTTTGAAATTAAATTCCACTGATTCTCGGTTTAGCAGAGCATCATATGAATATGTAGCTAAGTAGAATGTATGTAATAAAATCTAATTACTTTTTTCCATGTCTTTACAGTTTTTAAATCTTTGGACATGTCACGTTCAGTGTCTGTGACTGCAGCTGGCCAGTGCCGCCTCTCTCCTCTCATACAGGTCATCTTAGACTGCAGCCATCTGTATGATTACACTGTGAAATTACTTTTCAAGCTGCACTCATGTAAGTATTTTGAAGAAAATGGAAAACAACATTAAGGATTCAATAGAGCCTGTAATGAGAGAATATATGTTCTGCCATTACTAGTCCCGTTTCTGAAAATGCTAGATGTCTTGTTCATCCTCTGGTTTCATTGGTGGGTTACTGACCTGCAGCTTGTGAATTCAGATCCTGTGACCCGAATTCATGTTCTGGGCCAGTAAATATGTAGAGAAGGTAATGGATAAGCATTTATTGAGGGGGATTGGGAATAGTTGCAAGGGTCCCTTTTATAACAGATTCAAACTAACGTTATTACAAAAAACCTGAAAGTTCTTTTTCAGGAAGCCTCTTTACTAAGAAGTTGGGAAGTGAATCAGGTTTTGTCATTTTTTCCTAATTGTTGCAATTTCACAACATATTTAAACAATTTATATTGGGTTACACTGCCACCAGCAGGAGTATCACGGTAGTTTATCACAGTAGTTACAAAGCAAAGGCTCACCCTTGGAGTGGCTCCTGCTGGTGCGTAAACCCCTTCACTTCTTGAAGAGCTTAGTTTTAGCCCTTTAAGCAGTTCAGACCTAATTCCTGGGGCTGCGATTTAGTTCCTTGTTTCTATTATTTTTCCTGGTAGGAAATCTTTTTAAAGTATAAATTCACCTTTTATAACATACTACATGTTCCAGCCAATAAATGCATGAGGTTCCTTGCAGTCTAGGGGATTTACTGTAATAGCCCTGGCAAGACCATCCTGTGGCGTTTCCACTTCTGAGTACACTTACGAACAGTAACCTTGGGCTTTCCCGTCACAGTTTTCTCAGGCAAGCAGCACCCTGGCTGCAATGAGAGGTGGTTTGCTCTTTCTCCTGGCAGAACCTCAGTATCCTCAGAACCTCAGTGATGTGGTAAGCAGAGGGTCTCCACCATTGTCTTCTTCTCTCTCCTCTTATCCTGTATATGGTATATGATGTTTACCCTCTCAGAGGTTACACTCTGGGGGTCCACTCTGGTGGTTTGGAGAATATGCTAGCTGTTATGCCCTCCGGGGTAATTTCTATCACTGCTGTTACCCATTTGGGGGATTTTGGAGGAGTTCTTGTCTGTGGCCTGCATGATGGCCAAGCACTACTCTCCCTCGTCTCTTTATGCAGGGTCTCTTGGGGTGGTGGCTGCAGTTTCTATACATCTCTGTGGGAGCTGAAGCACCATTTTGGTTTTAGCCACTTTGCTCTTTCTTGCTTCACTGTTTTTTTTGCAGCTTCTCAGGAAGTATGAGGCCACTCTCTACAAGTGCCTACCATGCAGCTGCTGTAAATAGCTCTATATCTCCTGCTAAATGACTGCTGGGTTGTTGTACAGGTTCTGGGAGCGGGGGAGGGGGCATGAGTTTATCCTGCTCGGTTCTTACCTCTCTGCTAAGTTGCTACATTTTTTCTGTTTGTACTGTTGTGGGCAATATGTCTGGCATGGCGCATGGTGGGAAATCACTCCTGTGCTTTGAAGTCACTAGGAGAGATAACACCAAACCTTGTGTGGACTGCAGTGCTGTTTTAGAGGGAAGTCTGGAAGAGGTTGCGGTATCTGCGCTCATCCTTTGATTCTTTGGTGCTTCGCAAGGAGGGTTTTGCCTCTCACACTAAACATTTAAATCAGTCCAAACCTAACATGTGCTCCTTCTCTCTCTGCTGCCTCTGATCATGGGGATTTGTAGGTCACTCTGGTGGTTCAGCCAAAATCCACAGAGGCAAACTTTTGTTTTGTACCTACAGTCCTAAGCCTGCTGGTGGCAGTATAACCCAATTATGAAGAATAGAGAAAATGTATGTCTATCAATTAATTCAGAGAAAAACATTTTAAAGTGAGTACAAAAAAGTTCTAGTTTTACAGTCTGAAGAGCTAGAAAAACAATTATAGTGTAAATATAGCATTTTTTGCCACTTGTATAGCGTTAAAGTGATTGTAAAGCTTTGAATATTCCTAATTTAAATAATAATTATGTCATACTTACCTGCTATGTGCCATGGTTTTGCACAGAACAGCCCAGATCCTCTTCTGGTGTCCCCCTCCGGTGCTTCTGGCTCCCTCCTTCCCCCTCGCCAAGTGCCCCATAGAAAGCCGCTTTCTATGGGGACACTTGTGCAGCCTTGCTCTGGAAGCAGACAGCGTGGCTTGGCCCCACTCCCCTCTCCTTTGTCACATAATCTGATTGACAGCAGCAGGAGCCATTGGTCTATCAATCTACCCTGTGAGCAGGGAGAGAGCAGAGAGCCGCTGCTCTCATGCACAGCACTGGATCGAAATTGGGATTATGTATGTATAAGGGGGGTGGGGTAATTCTGGGACACAGAAGATTTTAGGCTTTAGAACCACTTTAAAACCCCTGGCATTTTATTTTCTGCTGTCTGTGTCTGGATGGCATGCATTCCCCTCACTTCTTGTCGCAGAGATGCAACAGGAAATGAAAAGACATCTCTACAAATTAAGAGGATTTCCCCTATTAGGCAATTGTCACTGGAACAAGTGCCCATTGGAGCATTTCTCCTAAGCTCTTGCTCTGGTGAAAAATATTGACTTTCTTCTCACATTCTGTCTCAGTAACAATGGTCACCAGGACAGTTAAGCCCTGTTTACACAGCTTTAGCTTGTATAGGAGCAGTGTGCCCAGAAAGCTTGAGTTAGGGTTTGTTCAGACGGGCGCTGACACCCATCCCGCGTGAACACTCTCTGCGTTCATATCCGTACTCCCGCTCCTGCTCGCATGTCAAATTTGTAGCTACACGCAGCTATGTCTGCTCTGGGGTACAGGCACAATGACAAAGGAAACCTTATAAGTAACTGTGTTCATCTGAAACAAAGCTGATAAACTTTTACAGGGGAAGTAGAGGATACATTTATTAGTAATTATGTGTGCAGCAGTTATAATGAAATACTAGTATTACAGTATGTTTTTCTAATTTTGATTTAGCTTTTATGTGGCAAATTATAATGTAACAGTCACACACGTCAATATACTCCAGCAGCATTGAGTTGGTCTGAGCAGCGTCCTATACTTCATACAAAATATTGGTTGTAATGGGTTGTAATATGTTATGGAACATAAAACTCCAAACTAAATAATAGAATTGGCACGCTTGAACCTCAAACAAGCTTTATGAATATACAGAAATATGAAATAGAAATAACAGTGATCTATTAGAAAAGTAGATTTGCTGCCACCCCACCCAGGATCAATCCTTTGTGTTGGAGCCAGCATATGCACTGGATATCAATACCATGCATTCAAACTGGAATATATAGGCTACATAGTAGTGGTTACTAGTGCGAGGGAGGTTGTCGTCCACAGAGGGTGACTTTGGGTTCACGCATATCCTTACAATAACCCTATATAAGTACTCTTCTCCTCCTCTGGACCACACATGGTTAATACTCCCCTGGCTTGGATATTTTGTGGCTATATCTTACACATTACTACTGGAACCATACCTGATACAGCCTCTAGTACAAAATATACTGGGGCTATACTGATCCATCTTTATCCATGAAATGCCTCAAATCTGGAGATTTAGGAATCCACTCATCCTTACATCCTTGTCAACTGTGTATGGGACTGACCAGGGATCAATACTTGTCCAGCATGCTGTGCATTTAATAAAACCTAGTGGCCACTCTGTATATCCTTATCTGTCCTCTATGATTGTCCCTTTGTTTTGAGAGCTCTCAGCTTTGATTGGTATCTAATTGGTATAGTAGGAAGATATGATAATTATATGCATCACTTTGATCATAGATATCTAATTGATCTTTAGATGTGACCCTTGATACCTTATAATGAGTGTGTTTATGTGCTCAATGTGTATTTGCTTTTAATTAATTAAATGAATTGTTTGTCAAAGATATCTGTCAGTACAGAGAACTTTGTTCATATTTTTTAATTTTTGATATATAATTTACAAAAATTTTTTCTAAGGTTAAGGTGTTGAGCCAAATCCATATTTTTTATGTGAGAATTTTTTGGTCTACTAAAATAAGCCTTTTAAAAAACTACTAGTTCCCTATTTGTATTTAGAGGTTCCTTATAGATTTCAGCAGCGGCAGCGCCACCTAGTGCCTATATACTAAGCCATGCAAGCTTTTTCACCTGTTATACCTCTTATGGATCTGAGGAATTTTTACATTTCACCTCTTGATTTAGCAATTACCTATTTCTTACTTATGATACCAAAGTACTACATATACCATTTTTTTGTAGACAAACAAAAATTTCTACTCTGATTAGTGTTTTAGAATAACTATTTTAAAGGGATTCTAAAGGCTTTTTTTTTTTTTATAAAAAACATGTCTGTATTTACTTGCTGTGTGCAGTGGTTTGTACAGAGCAGCCTGGGTCCTCCTCTTCTCAGGTCCCCCACAGGCTCTCCTGGCTCCTCCTTCCTTTTGTGTGCCCCCACACAGCAAGCAGCTTGCTATGGGGGCACCCACTGCTCCGTGTGTCCGTTCACACCACATGGAGTCATGACTCGGCACCAGCCCTCTCTCTTCTCATTGGCTGACTGGCTGTGATTGACAGCAGTGGGAGCCAATGGCTCCTGCTTCTGTCTTAGCCAATTAGAAGAGGGAGTCCTGGGACAGCCAAGACTCCAGTGCACATCACTGGATCCAAAGGAGGCTTAGGTGAGTATTAGGGGGGGCTGGGGGGGTGGGGGTTGGTGCTGCATGAAGGTAAAAAACCTTGAGCCTTTAGAACCACTTTAAAGGTGAAGTTCACCTTTAAAAAAATAAATTCACATTGTTTTGCGAGTAAAAAAATTGTGCTTTTATTATTTTTTTTTCTTAGGAGCCTGTAAAGCATTGCAGCTACAACGTACCTCTGATGCGGGCAGGCAGTTACCGGAGTCCAGGAAGAACTATGAGAGCACTTACCAGTGCCCTCGCAGTTCATTCAGAAGTACAAGGTGTCAGCCACAATGGCTGACAGTAGTTGTAGTTCATTCATTTGCAGAACTCTGTGAATGAATGACACAGCCATGTGGGTGGAGCTTGCACAACTGCATGTTTTTGAATTGTGACAGCGAAGATCCCCTGCCCACTGTTACAATGGGGATCGGGTCAGAGTGGTGACAGGTGATTTATTAACATTCAAAGCCCTAAATATGGTAGTAACCATTATATGGGTCTTCCAAAAATGAACACAACAAAATTGAAAGAAAGAAACAAATAAAAAAATTAAGTATGAATGTTAAAAAACTGATGGAAGTCTGTAAAAAAATTCTAGGTTGTTAAAAAAGGGGAAGAAGAATTTAATTGGGGCTAATTAAAGTGGTTCTAATGGCTCAATGACTTTTACCTTCCTATATTCTATGCATGAAGGTAAAAAACATTCTATGTGCAGATCCCCCCAATCTTTACCTGAGCCCCCTCCGATCCAGTGACGTTCTGGACAGCCTCTGCTGTCTGGGGACTCTTCCTCCTCATTGGCTGAGACATCGGTCCCTGCTGCTGTCAATCACAGCCAGTAAGCCAATGAGGAGAGAGAGGGGGGGGGCAGATGCTTTGTATCTTTTTGACGCATAGAGCAGCGGCTCGGGGACAAGCACGTAGAGGTGCCCCTAGGGCGAGCAGCTTTCCCTAGAGCCACTGCTCAAGGTGGAGGAGCCAGGAGCTTCGGCGGGGACCTGAAAAGAAGATGATCGGGACTGCTCTGTGCAAAAGCACTGCACGGAGCAGGTAAGTATAGACATGTTTGTCATTTAAAAAACAAAACGAAGCTTTAGTGTCACTTTAAGGTTAATTAGGTGTTAAAAGGTTTAAAACTGGTTTAAAGCAGGTTTTAGTAAAATTAAATAGTTTGTTTGGACCAAAGTGGCCTAGATGAAATATATCCCTCACGAACAGATGCAGTGACTTTGAGTGCTGAATAAACTGTATAAACAGTATGCAGCTCTGAGCTTCTTCTCTGAACTTCCCATCCTGCTCCCAGAATGAAACTGAGTTGGGCTGAGCGCTGCTCAGCCTTTCACAGGGAGCTTTATATTCTATGAATGATTACAAAGCTTCCTTTGATTTGCTTAGGTGGAGAGATAGGCAGATGATGTCACAATCCTTGGCTCAGCCAATCAGGAGAAGCTATATATTGATTCATAAAATACACAAAGTTGGTGAATGATTCAGTCTTATAGCACCTACTAAATACTGAAATGTCTGCACTGGGTTGACTGTCTCTTTAAAATAAAAAAAGAAACCATATGACAGGAAATACATTGGAGAAATGGTCCTTATTGACCTCCTCCTCAAATTGTAACTCCGCCAAGTTTGTATGATATCTGCATTTGTATTGATTTCAAGGAAGGCTGACAGGAAAACCTCAGTGATAAAATTTGTCAATTCACTTTCTGTAGTTGGTAACATTTTTCCTGTAAGTGTCAGTCATACCTCACCATGATCAATAGCTTGTCTTATGATTTAATCTATTAAATAGGGACAGCAGTACAAAGTAACCAGAGGTATGGAAGGTTTTTTTTTCCCTTCACAAAATGCATTCTTATCCAATATTTGTGTATGGCTGAATTGTATTTATCATTTCTTCTCTTCCTGTCTTTGTTGAAACCAGTTGCGGTCATCCCTCCTCTTCATTGATAAGGTGGATCAGGACCTACTATGGCCATTACATCCATTTTTTCCTTCCATGGTTCAAAGATGTTATACGGTTAGGATGCATAAGTGTGCCACACATAGGAGCTTGTCATTATTTGGCCTCCATTGTAGAAAGCATCAATTCACTTTAATAGTGCTAGCACTGAGTTATGGGAGGATATTTGGATGACTTCTTTCTCCTACTTGAAGGATAAAATTAAGTTGTGTTTGGTTTTTGTAATGCATGCAAGTACACTGTCTCGGGGATCCCAACAGACTCGGACATGCCAGCAGACTCCATTACCCTCAACATGTTTTCTCTGCCCCCTGCTGTTTTCTTCCATAGGAATAGAATATCTATTCAACATGGGGTATACTGAGAAACTTGGATGTCAGGGTTAGATCTCTTCAATAGGCTTCTGGTAACTTATGAGCAGGGGCGGACTGACAACTCATGGGGCCCCTGGGCAACAGGGGATCATGGGGCCAATGTGTCCTTGCCCAAACTTAAAAAAGCCTATGAAAAAGGTACCATGGGCATCTCATGGAGCCCCCTACTGACCCTGGGCCCTTGGGCAGTGTCCAAGTTTCCAAATGGTCAGTCCGCCCCTGCTTGTGAGTAACTATAGAGAGATTAAATAGCCTAAGGTAATAGGTCTACTTAAATGAATGCCTGATGTGTTGCATTTACAGTCGATATAAAAAGTCTACACACCCCTGTTAAAATGTCAAGTTTTTGTGATGTAAAAAAATGAGACAAAGATAAATCTTTTCAGAACTTTTTCCACTGTTAATGTGACCTATAAACTATACAACTCAATTGAAAACAACCTGAAATCTTTTAGAGGGGGTAAGTAAACTTAAACTAAAATAATGTGGCTGCATAAGTGTGCACACCCTCTTATAACTGGGGATGTAGCTGTGTTCAAAATTAAGAAATAACATTTAAAATTATGTTAAAAAGGAGTCAGTACACACCTGCCATCATTTAAAGTGCCTCTGATTAACCACAAATAAAGTTCAGCTGTTCTAGTAGGTCTTTCCTGAAATTTTCTTAGTCGCATCCTACAGAAAAAGCCATGGTCCACAGAGAGCTTTCAAAGCATCAGAGGGATCTCATTGTTAAAAGATATCAGTCAGGAGAAGGGTACAAAAGAATTTCCAAGGCATTAGATATACCATGGAACACAGTGAAGACAGTCATCATCAAGTGGAGAAAATATGGCACAACAGTGACATTACCAAGAACTGGACATCGCTCAAAAAATTGATGAAAAAACAAGAAGAAAATTGGTCTGGGAGGCTATCAAGAGGCCTACAGAGACATTAAAGGAGCTGCAGGAATATCTGGCAAGTACTGGCTGTGTGGTACATGTGACAACAATCTCCGGTATTCTTCATATGTCTGGGCTATGGGGCAGAGTGGCAACACAGAAGCCTTTTCTTACAAAGAAAAATATCCAAGCCCAGCTAAATTTTGCAAAAACATATCTGAAGTCTCCCAAAAGCATGTGGGAAAATGTGTTATGGTCTGATGAAACCAAGGTTGAACTTTTTGGCCATAATTCCAAAAAATATGTTTGGCGCAAAAACAACTCTGCACATCACCAAAAGAACACCATACCCACAGTGAAGCATGGTGGTGGCAGCATCATGATTTGGGGCTGTTTTTCATCAGCTGGAACTGGGGCATAGTCAAGGTAGAGGGAATTATGAACAGTTCCAAATACCAGTCGATATTGGCACAAAACCTTCAGGCTTCTGCTAGAAAGCTGAACATGAAGAGGAACTTCATCTTTCAGCATGACAATGACCCAAAGCATACATCCAAATCAGCAAAGGAATGGCTTCACCAGAAGAAGATTCAAGTTTTGGAATGGCCCAGCCAGAGCCCAGACCTGAATCAGATGGACAATCTATTGGGTGATCTGAAGAGGGCTGTGCACAGGAGATGCCTTCGCAATCTGACAGATTTGGAGTGTTCTTGCAAGGAAGAGAGGGCAAATATTGCCAAGTCAAGATGTGCCATGCTAATACACACATACCCAAAAAGACTGAGTGCTGGAATCACATCAAAAGGGGCTTCAACAAAGTATTAGTTTAAGGGTGTGCACACTTATGCAACCATATTATTTTAGTTTTTTATTTTTACTTCCCTCCACCTAAAAGATTTCGTTTGTTGTTCAACTGAGTTGTTCAGTTTATAGGTCACATTAAAGGTGGAAAAAGTTCTGAAATTATTTATCTTTGTCTCATTTTTTTACATCACAGAAACCTGACATTTTAACAGGGGTGTGTAGACTTTTTATATCCACTGTACTTACACCTGACTCCCAACCTTCTTGTCTTCCTGCTCCAATATGACAGTGTTGGCTGGGCAAATGACCAATAATCAAGTACCAGTAATGTCAGAAGAATGGAAGTGAGTTACATGATCTTCATACACAGTATTTCATATTGATCTTCACTCCTTACAGCGGAACAAAGGGGCAGGGCAGCATAAGACAAATGTGTAAGCAGCTGGTGGAGCCAGCAGTAAAATTAACCTGTTGCTTTACATTGAATGGACAAAAGACAGGTTTGCTTTACACTTCTCTCTGTGAAATGGACCTCTTTTGAAGCTCTGTGTTTTAAGATAACTTTTTGTGTATTTTAGGCCTCCCCACAGACACATTACAGGGACATCGAGATCGCTTTATGGAACAATTTCAGAAGTAAGAAAACTCCAGCTGTAACACATTAGATAATTATTGCTTTAAATATAGAACTTTGTCTGTATATACAAAAACAATTGGATGGACTAAAATGATGTGAGCATTCACAATATATGTTAATTTTCTCTGTGCAGGCTAAAAGATTTGTTCTACCGTTCAAGTAACCTACAGTACTTTAAACGTCTGTTACAGATTCCCCAGCTTCCAGAGGTAAGCTTTCTGTTGTTTTATAAACTTTAAATAGCATAAATAAGGAACAGTAATTAGCAGTAACCCATGGAATACAATCAGATATCAGCCTTTAGAAGTATACTATATTGCCAAAAGTATTAGGACACCCCTACAAATCATTGGATTCAGGTGTTTCAATCCCCTTCATGGCCACAGGTGTATAAAATCAAGCACCTAGGCACGCAGACTGCTTCTACAAACATTTGTAAAAGAATGGGTCGCTCTCAGGAACTCAGTGAATTCAAGCGTGGTATCGTGATAGGTTGCCACCTGTGCAATGAGTCCATAAGTGAAATTTCCTTGCTACTAAATATTCCACGGTCAACTGTTAGTGGTATTATAATGAAGTATAAGCAACTGGGAACAACAGCAACTCAGCCATGAAGTGATAGGCCACATAAAATGACAGAGCGGGGTCAGCGCATGCTGAGGCGAACAGTGCGCAGAAGTCGCCAACTGTCTGCAGAGTAAATAGCTAAAGACCTCCAAACTTCCTGTGGCTTTCAGATTAGCACAACAACAGTGCGTAGAGAGCTTCATGGAATGGGTCTCCATGGCCAAGATAGTTGTATCCAAGCCTTACATCACCAATTGCAATGCAAAGCATCAGATGCAGTGGTGTAAAGCACGCCTCCACTGGACTCTAGAGCAGTGGAGATGTGTTCTCTGGAGTAATGAATCATACTTCTCTGTCTGGAAATCCGATAGACGTGTCTGGGTTTGGCGGCTCCCAGGAGAACAGTAGTTGCCTGACTGCATTGCGCCAAGTGTAAAGTTTGGTGGAGGGGGGATTATGGTGTTTGGTTGTTTTTCAGGGGTTGGGCTTGGCCCCTTAGTTCCAGTGAAGGCAACTCTTAAGGTGTCAGCATACCAAGACATTTTGGACAATTTAATGCTCTCAACTTTGTGGGAACAGTTTGGGGATGGCCACTTCTTGTTCCAACATGACTGTGCACCTGTACACAAAGCAAGGTCCATAAAGATATGGATGAGCAAGTTTGGAGTGGAGGAGCTTGACTGAACTGCACAGCCCTGACCTCACCCTAATAGAACACCTTTGGGATGAATTAGAGCGGAGACTGCGAGCCAGGCCTTCTCTTCCAACATCAGTGCCTGACCTCACAAATGCGCTTCTGGAAAAGTGGTCAAACATTCCCATAGAAACACTCCTAAACCTTGTGGATAGCCTTCCCAGAAGAGTTGAAGCTGTTATAGCTGCAAAGGGTGGGCCAACTCAATATTGAACCCTACAGACTAAGACTGGGGTACCATTAACGTTCATGTGCGTGTAAAGGCAGGCGTCCCAATATTTTTGTCAATAAAGTGTACATTGTAGCATGATTTCTGATCATTTTCTTTGTCAATTTATTACGTCTTGGAATGCAAACCAGTGCTGCGCTAAAAATAAATTACACCAATTTCTTTTGAGCAAGAAATAGCTGAAATCATACAATATATATACATGAGAATATATTGATCTTGATGTGGCCATCCCCAATAAAATGGTTAATGCTTTAGGTTATGGTAACAAGAATAAATAATGTGAAAGTGGTTGTAAAGCGTTAAGTTATTTTACCTTAAGGTATAAAGGCAAAACGTTTTTTTTTTTCGCTTTGGACAGAGTGGAGAGGGATTAGTACCCCGTCAGGTTTTTTTTTGCAGTCTGTGCTCCCCACTAGGGCGTTTCATCCTCTCTATTTGTCTTACTTACCATTATCATCAAAAGTGAAAGTAAAAGAAACCCCAAATGATGGGTTGTCCCCATAAAAATAATAGAGGGAAAATTTTCAAATGGGGACACCAGTTCTGGTGATATGGGGGTCCCCAAGGAATCCCCTTATTTTGCAGAGATTTCTCACTTCCTGTTTTGGCTATGGGACAGGAGGTGAAAGTAAACGTCCCCAGTGGGAATCAAATGGCAAAAAATAATTCAACAGGGGTTATAACCATCCCTTACTCTATCCAAAATGACAAAAAAAAAAGTTTTGCCTATAGTCCTACTTTAACGCATTCTATGCTTTAAGGTAAAACAAAACTTCCGTGCCTTGGATCCTCAAAAGCCCCCCTCTCCTCATACTTACCTGAGCCCCTTCGCGATCCAGCACTGTGCATGAGAGCAGCGGCTCTCCCGGCTCTGTTCTTCCTCACAGGGCAGATTGATAGCATTGGCTGCTGTCAGTCAAACTCTGTGCAAGCAGCAGGGCTTGGAAGCAAGCCCGCACATGTTCCCCCATAAGAAGCAGCTTCCCATGGAGGCATTGGATGAAGAGGAAGAGCCAGGAATGCTTGCGGGGGACCCAAGAAGAGGAATGTCAGGGCTGCTTTGTACCATTGCAGAGCAGGAAAGTATGTTTTATCATTTAAAAAAACAAAACACTTTACAACCACTTTAACTATGTAGTGGAACTGAAGAAATTTTGATTTCTTTCAGATGTGTTGTACTGCTAAATATATAAGAAATTGTTCCATGTCATCTTCTTAGAACAGTTTCCAGTAGGCTAACCACAATGAACTTCTCTTATTTGTTCCCTTTTGGTCTGTTAGATGTACAACTGAAGGTGTTTTGTTATATCTGTTTAAGTGCAAAAAATACCTGTTGTTTTTGCCAGAAATCTTATTAGCTGATAATTTTCTATGCTGCACAAGAATGGGTTATGGAGATGAGGAGGGAGTAGGAGATGAGAGGTCTGTGTTCTGTGTAATCCATATGAAAATTTGGGCTGGCACCATGTGCTTGGGAATTAGGAGATGGTGTTATCATGACAAAGAGGAAGGAAGGAGCACACTATATTTCTGGCACATCAACAGTTGTTAATTGCAGCTTGTTTAAAGGGATACAACATGGGGAAATGTGCATGTATTCTAAAGATGTAGTAAATAACAAATGGGGAGAAGAGCATGTGCAAAGTGTGAAAGGTATTACAACCAGTGTCTGAATGGTTGTGTTACTGCACTTTGCTCATCATTGAATATGCGGCATTTATTTATTTTTAATAGATTGAGTATAGATTATTATAACATTATTTTACCTTACTTCAGGATATACAGTATGTGGATATGTCTGAGAGGATCATCAAAGCAAATATGGAATATTTTAACTGTACTTTTTCCTTTGATTGTAGAACCCACCTAATTTTTTGAGGGCGTCAGCCTTGTCTGAACACATCAGTCCTGTGGTTCTTATACCTACGGGAAATTCCCCTCCTGATAGTGAGACGTTAGTGGAGACAGATGATCTTGTTGGAATGGATTCATCCTCTCAGGTAGGTGATGACAGATTTTATTGGATATTGTCTTCTTAACGTGGTGCAGTATCAGTACATCTGATGGCACAAATATACTGTAAATGTTTTTACATTATCACATTACATGTTTGGAAGGCATCTTTGGGAATTATTGACGAGATTACAGTTTGATGACTTGATATACGCTACTTTGTGCATGAAGATTGAGGTGTGAAGGGGAAAACGTTATGGAAGAAAAAGTGTGATGATGAGGATAGGTGTTACTTAGAAATAAAATTAAGTGTATAGGCTTATCTTATATCTTTGCAGCAGTATTTAACAAATAATGGAAACCAGTAATAAATTATTGAGCAGCCAAACTAGTAATAACTAATAAAAATGTATTCCTTTGTGTACCCATCCATTGGTATAATGAAGGAAAGTTCCAAAGTAATAGTTCCACTGTGATTTGCTATGTATCACCCCCTGGATTTGATCCCTGATACTTTTTTAGCCCAAGGTTGTCCCTCTAGAAAGTGATGGCTAAACCTTCCACACCAAAACAAGCATTTTTCATAGGTCTTAGTAGTCAGTAAATATCAGTTTCAACAATGTCTTGATGAGTGTGCCCTGCCCCATCAAACCATGGTTAATGCATAAGTAGTAAATGGATAATTTAAAGAGGAATTGCAGGAACATAGGTTCCCAGTGCCCAAAATAGGGTATACAAGCCAGATAAAAGGCATACTTACATATCACATTATGAAAGTACAGTATCTCATGCATTTAACAAAAACGTTTTAACTATTCCTAACTTCTGCTTTCTTTTGAGAGATATACAGCATAGTTAACTTTTCCATCTGAAAATTTGGCATGCTTTTTTTTTATTAAATCATCCTTTCCTTTGCCCATGCACCACAAAGGAAAAAGGATCACTTAACTTTTGCTCTCTCCAGCACCTGCATGGGCCAATAAAAAGGTCACTTTAATGAGCAGGGTCCTCAGTATTTTTATTGGTTATTATTAACAGTGCATGTTTCCTGTATACCATGTTATACAATGCTGCAGAATGTAATGGCTGTATATAACCATATAACTAAAACATAAATATAAAGATATAACTTATATTTATCATAATTAGTGTATACCATTTTGATTGTCATACACCACAGCAGTTTTTCTGTTTGTATTGCAGGGTATGCCTGAGAATAAGTTTGATGATATCTTTGGCAGCTCCTTCAACAATGACCCGTTTAATTTCAGCAGCCAAAACGGCATGACCAGGGATGACAAGTATGTTTTAACAGATGTATATATGGCTAACGTCAAAATATGTGGGTATTGTGCACACTGTATTGAAATAGGGATCCTCACATTAAAGCTACTAAACTACAGGCAGACATGAAAAGAAGACATTTAGATTTACATACCTGGCAGAGAGTTTGAGGAGCCCCAAAATTCATGCCACCCTATGGAAATTTCTTTCGGCTTCTGAGGTTGAGCTTGGACTCCTTACTCCTTTTGTCTACTTTTCCTTATTGTCATTAGTTATAGTCACCCATAACCAGATGGGAGGTAGTGGCTAACCCAAGCATTGGTTCGGAAACTAATGTCATTATTTGCATATTAGAACATCCTCTTTTTTGAGACTTCCGGGCAGCTCTGTAAGACATGTCAGCTTTTCTAGTGATCAGCATCAAACAGAACATTTCAATGAGTCAGTCCATTCACTTTGAAAATATATAGAAGTATACTTTCAATATGTTGTGCGTTGACCACCAGGGATTCTGCTGTATATTTTTCCTAGGGCCAGATTTAAACTTTGCTTAGTCAAAGTAGAGTTTCTGGTCTGGTTCAGGTCTGGTTTGATGGGAGTTTTCATCTTATCCATAAGGGCAAGAGAATTTACAATGTATACTAACATAGGGGAAAAATAAATACTCTACTGGGTGTGGAAACATGTCTGAAGTAATACACATGAAAAACTCTGTAAATTTCAGAGCTCAGAGGTCAACCGAAGAGGAAGATGATCACAAATGATGTATGATATACAATGAATTATGAACTTTGCCAGGAATGTGTAGTAGATGTCGCCCTGCTCAACTGAGGAAGTGTTATGAAAACTACAAAAAGAACAACCAGGAGGGCACAAGTGCATTACCAACGATTTATTGTTCACAAAACATAGATGTCAAATGGATACTCACAGAAGTGGAAAGTAAAATTGCATAAAAACCACGTGTTTGTTCTTTTTGTAGTTATGTCTGAAGTAATGTAGATTTTGGTTTGGTTTTTGCTTAATCAATACGAAATAGAATGTTGATTCAAACATCTGTTGCTTTCTCTTTCTGTTATTCTTTGGCACAGAGATCGCCTAATAGAGCAACTGTATAAAGAAATTGCCAATCTAAGAGATGAACTGGGAAACTTCAAAGCAGAGGTGAGATTTCAAGCTCCAAAGTTTGAAAAGCCCATGACCAAAAAAAGAGAATGACAGTATTGCACATTGTCTTAGATAACTTATGCAAATGCTGGATTGGAGCAATTCATGCTGTCATACCGCCGTTCGGATACAAAAAGTAAATACGTACTGTAATGTTCTCACTTTTTGGATATACACAGCAGCACCACATCTAAGTTTGATTGATCTCATCATTTCTTGGAAAAATATACCTTAAATACTGTAGTTAAAACCAGCAGTTATTAGCATTCTTTGCCATAGAGAAACATGACTCAGTTTTAATACTGTGGGTTGTAGTAAACAATACAAACAAAGACAAATCCTGAGCATAATGCACATTAAAAATGCAGTGAATATTAAATAAAGGAAAATCCTGTATCCAATAGTAATTTAACAAGTCACAACCATCCTTTAGCTCTCAGAAAAGAAACAGTTTGTGGAAATCTCGCCATTACCTAAAAGACAAAGCAGTAGATTGAATGAATGGATTGAAAGTAAATGAATGCACTTACAATGAGTTTGGAGTATAAGATGGCTTCCTGGTGGTCCAAAACTTCATATCCTAAGTCCAGACCAGAGTGACCCTCCAGCCATGGCCAGTGGCAGGGTCAGAGCTGTTAAATATGTTCTTTGGATACAACAGAATTGCAGGAATCAGCACTTGTTAGATCTCTCACTGAGACAAGCACTTCCGATATCATCTTTCCATGAGAAACATGCCCCTTCAATTCCAAGATGCTGCCAGATGTGCTTTTTGCTCAGTCATTGGTTTTATTAAAAATACCACAACTGATTTAAACCTTTGTTTCAGTTTGGGAGATAGGTGCAATCATGTTGACCCAAAGGAAAAGAAATTTATAGTAAGTGTAAAATTTCCTCCATGGCATAACTACATCTGGGAATTAGCATGTACAGAAAAAGAGGAAAGTTATAACATGTTAGCTTATAATGTGTGATGGACACAGTGGTCACATATATCTTGTTCTGTTGTAGGACCTCTTTCCATACAAGAGCCCTAACTGAGTGTGCTGTAACTTTAGTGGCACAATGTTATACTTTATGTTTGTGTTTTATTCTTTAGCTACTACTTTGGATGGTTTTTGCACTTATTTTAGCCTTATTTGATTATTGTCTTCTAAGTGTATTTTGAAAGATATCTGCTAGATCTGTCAAAACATTGTAATGCAGTCTTGTCTGGTTCAGGTTTAAAGTTTCTCAGTGGTTCTTTGTAAGTGAAATCAATTTATGAAGGAAACGTAAGCTAAAATGAGGAAGTGTCCTTCATGTTTGTGTGTTCCAGTTTCCATTCAGCTTGTGAAGGTGTTCCAGCGGATTTAGTAGAGGAACTTGACTGCATCAAGTCCTCAATCACTAGGTCTGTAAGACCAATGTCTTTAATATGGACCAGCCTGTCTACAAAATTGTAAGGGATAACTTGTGTACATCTGGACACATGACTTCCCCCAGTGTAATTAGGTCTCTCATTTTCGTTAGGATTCAAAACTTTCCCTGGACATCTGGAGGAGTTGAAAGAACCAGACTCTTTTGGGACAGTATGTGATGATGGCCACCACTGATCCTTCCTGATCTTGGTGATCACCTTCTGAATCATGGATATTGGGGGAAATATGTACGCAAGCTGGAAATCCCCTGTGATTGACATTACATTCAGGTATGTCGGAACATTGTCCTAGTAGATGGAGCAAAGCTTATTATTATTTTATGGCATTTGCTCTTGTCCTCACCAAATCAGTCTGTGGAGTGCCTGACGTTTGGTCAGGTGGCCCAAAACATACTTTTTTAAGTGACCATACTCTGTTATATACAGTGACTTGCTTAGATTTCCCCTAGTGTCTTAGATTAATTGCAGTCATTATTGGTAGGTTTCTTTGGCTTATAGAAAATCTCCTGTAAATCCTGTGACAATTTAGGAAGCATGGTCCCACCTTTACAATCTATATATGACACTGTTCTGACATTCTGATTCTCACCGCTGACCTGTTCAAGGTGCTTTGAAAAATACCAGGACTCTCTTTCCATTAGATGTTTTAAACCTTGGGCTGCTTGCTCCTTTACATGGGCATCCCAGCTCTCGGACAGATCACATGCTCTTGAATTATCTTGTTTGGTTTTGAAAATGTAAGCACTTTTTGTGACATCATGTCACGATGTCATCTCAGGACAGGCTTTGTCTCTTTGAGAAGTACTTCAGTCTGCAGAGGCCTTATGTATCAATGGGTTGTCCCATTCTTCTTCATCAACAGGCAAGTTGTCTTAGGATGCAGTCAGGATAACATCAATAGCATGTAATAGCACACACTGCCACTAATTGCTAGCTTTAACTGTTTTATTGACAAAGTTATTGTCCTATTTTAGAAGTGAGACCCAGATAAAACCCAGATGTAGTGCTGCCATTGAGGATGCAAAGGAACTTTCTGTAGTAGTATTTAATGAGGTTTATATGTTTCAGAGTCATCGGTTGGTTGTTCATCTGAAGGGGCGCATCCAAGAGCTAGAGGCTGAGTTAGCGGAGCAGAAACACCTGAGGGAACAAGCAGTGGATGAAAATGATTTTCTGCGAACAGAACTGGAAGATTTGAAGAGGATTAAACAAGATACAGAGAAAGCCCAGAAGAATCTTACAGAGATAGAGAGTAAGGAGTCAGGACATGAGAGTTGTTTTTTGGTTTCTTTCTATACAATTTTTATTTAAAAATGATACACACTTTATATTTTGATTTTTTTCTGACCATAAGTGCAAATGTAAAATTAGACAGTAATTAAAGAGTGGTTTGACAAAACAGACAAATCTAAATAAATGTTTTGTGTGGCTCTGCTCTCTCTTATTTGCCATGTTTCTAGTTTAATAGCAGATGGTTATATTACAGTGTATGGGATCCATTAAAGGGTCAATTCACACAAAAGTCATGCTTTGGTTTTAGGTAGAGACATGTGGGCTGAGCCACCTTTTGAATTGTATTATCTAGTGAAGACTTCAGCTGTGGGATCAACCAGCAACAGTGCCTGGCTCTGGTCCGGCCTACATCAGATGCTTAGATTTTCCTTTATTTGGGGTGTTGTCATCCCTCCATAATGCCAACAAGATAGCAATCTATCAGGAGAATTGGAACTCTAATATGATGGCCCTCAGGCAAGACTTTGGAGACTTGGAAATCTATCAACATCTGAAATATTCGTTTTGATGGAAATTACATTTCAAATCACTTTGGGATTTTAACATATTAACATTTACATGTTGTTCCTCTATACTTTAAATTAATTCACTCCATATAGAATAGAACTTTGTTGTCACTTCAGTTGTTCAGTCCTAGTACAGAACACATACTGCATATAAGATAATAAAGGCAACAGAAACAGTTCAGACTCAGCAAAGATTCTGGAACCCAGTTCTATTTGTCTTTTCTTTCTCTTTAGTTTTAGTGACACCTTTTATGTGTGATCTTTTGTTGAAAATTCAATAAAAATCATTGAAACAATAACAAAAACCATTGCTTCATAAGCAGCCATCTTGAGAAATATTTAAGTGGAATTGCATCATTTTTTTTTACAAATTTTTATTGATGTCTGTTCTGCTAATTGGTGTTTTTTTATTGTTTAATGTTTTACTATTTGGTGGTTTATCTTTACTTCTAGTCCTGAAGACACAACAGTGTTTACCCATTTTTTATTTTCTCTTATAGGAAAATCGATTGCTAATGAGCAAAGATACACCAAGCTGAAGGAGAAGTATGCAGAACTGGTGCAGAGTCATGCAGACCTTCTCAGAAAGGTGACTGATTTTCTCCACTGACACAACAGAACTGTCTAAAGGCCAATATAATTCTATCTTTGAGTTAAATATATTCAGAGGTACTGATCGTAATCAAGCATGCAGTTTAGAAAGTTAGAGCAAAGTCAGATCTACTAATCTGGACATTTGTTCATGAGGAAGGACCAAATCCATAGAATCAGCTTGACTGGCATCCAGTATTTTCAGAAGAAAAGGTCAGCAATGACAGCCTGCATATTCTCTCAGTACAGGTTTCCTTTAATGTGTGATGCTATACATTCTCATTGTGCAATACATTTATAAATGAATGGTCTCACTGCATGTAAACTGTAATTTGTATGTCTTCATTAAAAGGGAAGTGCGAGATTTAAGAAAAAATAAACATTGACACTCACCTAGGTGTATGCAGCATCATTTTGATTCTGCATCTGTCCTCACCGCTTCTAAGACTGAGAACTAAGCAATCAAAGACTGCTGATTTCTCAGTTTTCGATCTTCAGTGAGCAGAGAGCCAAAGACTGTCAGGCACCAGTGCTCACTGGAGTGCTGGGCTGTAGAGGGGGCGGGAGCGGCTGACTCAGGCTCTCAGTGGTGTGTTGAGAGGCTTAGCCAGCTGCCGATCAGGCATCTGAGTGGATCCTGACATTAAAGTCAGGATCCCTCCAGAGTCTGGATCAGCTGAGTGATAACATCAGCCAACAGTGGACTTTATCCTGCTGTCAGCTGAATACAGGTCACAGGAGTATAGAATGCACCCCTGAATGCCCCCAGCGGTGCGCATACCGTGCTGTTTGTGATAGCTGTGTCCTACAGACATAGCTGATCATGTGACAAGGTAAAAGGCCAATCACAGTGGCCTTTTACCACGTGATCAGCTGTGTCCAAAGGCACAGCTGATCACAAAGTAAATACAGTTGCTGGTTATCGGCGGCACTTTGCTCACGCTGTCATAGCGGAGTGTGTGTCACAGAGGACATCTGCACTGATTATCAGAGCAGTGATTATCAGTGCCCTGATTATCAGTGCAGCCACAAAGGTGCCCAGCAGTGGCGCCCGTCAGTGCACCCATCAGTGCCCATCAGTGCCACCCATTAGTGCCCATCATTGCTGCCTATCAGTGCCCATCAATGACACCTATCAGTGCCCATCTGTGTTGTATACCAGAGCAGCATCATCAGTGCCTCCTCATCAATTCCCACCAGTGCCACCTCATCAGTGCTGCCTAGTAGTGCCCATCAGTGCTGCCTAGCAGTGTCCACTAGTGAAGGAGAAAATTTACTTGTTTGCAACATTTTTTAATAGAAACAAAGAAAACGTTTTTTTAAATTTTTTTTTTCTCGTTTTTCGTTTATAGTGCAAAAAATAAAAAATCCAGTGGTGATTAAATACCACCAAAAGAAAGCTCTATTTGTGTGAAAATAAATGATATCAATTTCATATGGGTACAGTGTTGCATGACCGCGCATCAGTGCTGAAAGCTGAAAATTGGCCTGAGCAGGAATGGAATAAAAGTGCCCGGTAGGCAGGTTTTTAACATAAATGGTGGATGATTGTTTGGAAAAGTTAATGACGTCTGCGTTTTCTTTTTCAGAATGCAGAAGTCACCAAACAGATGACGTTTGCTCGAGAATCTTTGGGGGATGTGGAGCGTTCCAAGAAAGAGCTGGAGGATTCGTATCAGCGGGTAAATGAGCACACACAGAGAAAGGTGAGGGCAGCACTCCATCTACCTGAGTCACATCTGCTTTTCTCACAATATTGTATCACCATTATAAATCCTAGTCAATGAGATGTGCTATAATGTGAACACACTAAGATTGTTCACACCATGATGCAGAGATGTCAGTTTTTCTGCCCGTGTTCTGCAAGAGCACAACATAATCAATTGTCCTCTATGTGCCCTGTTCACACGACAACACTAGTATCATATGCAGATTTTTTTTTGCGCATGAATCTGTATCATGTATAAAACTTACTGATGAAAAATGATGTAAACTCATGTCTCTGCAAATGAAATTTGCGCATCAGTTTCCATCAGTTTTTCTGCACATATGGTGTGAAAGAGTCCTAAAGCTCTATTGCCATTTTTTGACTGTGGGGGTAATATGTGTTCCACATTTTAAAAATAGATTTTCAAATAAATTAGTTGCCTTTTTTGTAAGTCCTCTGACTTTTTTTTGGCAAACATGTAGTAACAAAGCAGTTAAAGCTTGTTCCTACCATACGTGCATGAAAACTGATGGAAACTGATGTGCAGATTTCACTTGCAGACATCAGTTTACATCAGTTTTCATGCAAGCTTCAATGATTTTTATACATGTTGCAAATTCCTGTGTGAAAAAAAATCTTCACGTGATACTAGTGTGGTGTGAATAGGGCACAGGTAGAAAAATGTATTGTGTTGTGCCCTTGTAGAATGCATGCAGAGAAACTGACGTCTCTGCACCATGGTGTGAACAAGCCCTTACTTAGCAGTGAATAATATATTAATATACAGTGTGCACATTTATTAGGCAAGTTGTATTTTTGAGGATTAATTTCATTATTGAACAACTACAGTGCTCATGGTCAATCCAAAATGTTTATAAACTTAAAACCTGAATATTTAAGAAAATAAAAGTAAGGTTTTGGCTTTTTTAGGAGACTGTCTTTGTGTGCACAGTTATTGGGCAACTATTAGTGTGCTGAATTATTATGCAACTAAATGAAAAACTAAAATGTTCCCATCTCACTTGATTATTTTCATCTGTTAAAGCGAGAATACAGTTGCAAGAAAAAGTATGTGAACCCCTTGGGATTACGTGGAGTTTTGCATGAATTGGGCATAAAATGTGCTCTGAACGTCATCTAAGTCACAACAATAGAAGAACACAGTCTGCTGAACATAATACTACACAAACATTAGATGTTGCCATGGTTTAATTGCACATAACATGTAAACATTCACAGTGCAGGGAGGAAAAAGTATGTGAACCTTTGGACCTAATAACTGGTTGACCCTCCTTTGGCAGCAATAATCCCAACCAAACGTTTCCTGTAGTTGCAGATCAGACCTGCACAACGATCTGGAGTCATTTTGGACCACTCCTCTTCACAAAACTGTTTCAGTGTAGCAATATTCTTGGGATGTCTGGTGTGAATCGCTCTCTTAAGGTCATGCCACAGCATTTCAATGGGGTTGAGGTCAGGACTCTGACTGGGCCACTCCAGAAGGCGTATTCTGTGCTGTTGCAGCCATTGTTTTGTTGAATGACTTGTATGCTTTGGGTCATTGTCCTGTTGCATCACCCATCCTCTGCGGAGCTTCAGTTGGCGGACAGATGGTCGTACGTTTTCCTGCAAAATGTCTTGATAAAACTCTGGAATTCATTTTCCCATCAATGACAACAATCCGTCCAGGCCCTGAGGCAGCAAAGCAGCCCCAAACCATGATGCTCCCTCCGCCATGTTTTCACAGTGGGGATGAGGTTTTGATGTTGGTGTGCTGTGCCTTTTTTTCTCCACACATAGTGTTGTGTGTTCTTCCCAAACAACTCAATCTTGGTTTCATCTGTCCACAGTATATTCTGCCAGTAGTGCTGTGGAACATCCAGGTGCTCTTTTGCAAACTTCAAACGTGCTGCAATCTTCTTTTTGGACAGCAATGGCTTCCTCCGTGGTGTCCTCCCATGTACTCCATTCTTGTTTCATGTTTTCCTTATTGTAGATGTGTCAACAAAAATGTTAGCATGTGCCAGAGATTTCTGTAGGTCTTTAGCTGACACTCTGGGATTCTTCTTTACCTCATGCAGCATTCTGCGCTGTGCTCTTGCAGTCATTTTTACAGGGCGACCGCACCTAGGGAGAGTAGCAACAGTGCTAAACTTTCTCCATTTGTAGACAGTCTGTCTTACCGTGGACACATGAACATCAAGGCTCAAGGAGATACTTTTGTAACCCTTTCCAGCTTCATGCAAGTCAACAATTCTTGATGGTAGGTCTTCTGAGAGCTCTTTCCTGCGAGGCATGGTTCACATCAGACAGTGCTTCTTGAAACCAGTAAACCCAAAACAGGTGTCAGCAACACATCCAATATCATCACACTGATTGGAGTCAAGGTTGGCTCACTCCTGGCTCCAATTAGCTCTGGGAGAAGTCATTAAGCTAGGGCCTCACATACTTTTTCCTCCCTGCACTGTGAATGTTTACATGTTATGTGCAATTAAACCATGGCAACATCTAATGTTTTGTAGTATTATGTTCAGCAGACTGTGTTCTTCTATTGTTGTGACTTAGATGACGTTCAGAGCACATTTTATGCCCAATTCATGCAAAACTCCACGGAATCCCAAGGGGTTCACATACTTTTTCTTGCAACTGTAATAAACAAACAACTCAACATTTACATATAAATATTTCTGACATTAAAAAAAATAAATAAAAAAAATCAGTGTCCAATATAGTCACCCTTCTTTTCAATAACAGTCATAAGCCTTCCATCCTTGGAGTCTGTCAGTTTCTTTATCTGTTGACGATCAACTGTTTGTGCAGCAGCAACTACAGTCTCCTAGACACTGTTCAGAGAGGTTACATAGTTACTGAATTAGTCTGGCTGAAAAAAGACAAAAGTCCATCCAGCTCAACCAAATAAAAAAAAAGTTATAATCCTAAACCCACCATTGGAAGGCAAAAAAAAAAACCCAGTAAGGCATGATCCAATTTGCTCCTGCAGGGGAAAACATTTCTTCTTTATCTCCCGAGAAGCAATCAGATATTCCCTGGATCAACTTTACTTATAAATGTTATATCCAGTTATATTGTGTATATCTAGGAAAGAATCCAGGCCTTTTTTAAAGCAATCCACTGAGCTGGCCAGAACCAACTCTTGAGGGAGACTATTCCACATTTTCACAGCTCTTACTGTGAAGAAACCCCTCAGTATTTGGAGATTAAATCTGTTTTCCTCCAGACGTAAAGAGTGCCCCCTTGTCCTCTGTGATGACCTCAGGGTGAATAGCTCTACACCGAGTTCACTATATGAACCACTGATGTATTTATACATGTTGATCATATCCCCCCTTAGTCTCCTCTTCTCAAGAGAGAATAAATTCAGTTCCTCTAATCTTTCCTCATAGCTGAGCTCCTCCATGCCTCTTATCAGTTTGTTTGCCCTTCTCTGTACTTTCTCCAGTTCCCCAATGTTCTTTTTGTGAATTGGTGCCCAAAAGTGAACTGCATATTCCAGATGATGTCTTACTAATGATCTGTACAGGGATAGAATGATATCTCTCTCTCTGGAATCTATACCTCTTTTAATACAAGATAGGATTTGCTCACTTTGGAAACTGCAGCTGGGCATTGCATGCCATTATTAAGCTTGTGATCTACCAGAACTCTCAGATCCTTCTCCACCATTGATTCCCCCAGTTGTACCCCCCCCCCCCCCCCAGTATGTATGATGCATGCATATTCTTAGTCCCCAAGTGCATAACCTTACATTTATCAACATTAAACCTCATTTGCCACATAGTTGCCCAATTAAACAGTGCATTGAGGTCGGCTTGTAAATTGGAGACATCCTATAAGGATGTTATTCCACTGCACAGCCTGGTGTCATCTGCAAAAACTAAAACTGTATTTTTAATCCCAGAACCTTTATTGTTTATAAATATATTAAAAAGTAAGGGTCCCAACACTGAACCTTGGGGTATGCCATTAACACTAGACCATTCAGAGTATGAATCATTAGCCACTATTCTCTGAATATGATCTTTTAGCCAGTTTTCTATCCATTTAATCCAGGTATACCATGTCCACAGCTACTCCTCTGTGCAAGGCTTTGCTCACCTCCTCATAAAAAGAAATCAGATTTGTTTGACAGCTTCTATCTTTCCTGAATCCATGCTGTCTGTTGTTTAAAATATTTTTTTACAGCAAGAACTCATCTATGTGGTCTTTTATTAAACTCTGCAGTATCTTTCCCAACTATAGAACTAACAGTTCTGTAATTACTTGGTAAATATTTCGACCCCTTTTTAAATATAGGCACAACATTGTCCATACGCCAATCCAGTGGTACTATGCCAGTCATTAAAGAGTCCCTAAAAATTAATCAATTCTTTAAGGACCTGTGGGTGTATTCCATCTGGTCCAGGTGCTTTATTCACCTTTATTCTGTCTAAATATTTTTGGATCATATCAATTGTGAGCCAATGTGGATCATCTGGGGCTGTGTCAATACCATGCCCATTGTGGACAAGAGCTTCCCCATGCTCCTTTATATACACAGAGCTGAAGATGATAATTAATACATTTGCCTTCTCTTTGTCCCCAGTCACCCACTCTAGATTATTTTGTAAAGGGCGTACATGTACACCCTAATTATATATTTACTAATTATATATTTTAAGAATTTTTTGGGGTTTGTCCTGTATCTTTTACAATCTGTCGTTCGTTTTCAATTTCTGTGGCCTTGATTTTCTTTTTACATATTCTGTTATATTCTTTCTAATGTTTAAATGATGATAGCGTTCCTTCATTTTTATATTTAATAAAAGCTATTTTCTTATTATCTATAGCTTTTTTAACTTTGGCCGTAAGCCACATAGGTCTGATTTTTAGCTTCTTAAACTTGCTGCCCATGGGAATATATTTTGCAGAGTGTTCACATATAGTCTTTTTGATAAACTCCCATTTCTGTGTTCTGTTCATCACTGCCAATATTCTGTCCCAGTCTAAGTCTTGGAGAGCAGCTATCAGCCTTGGAAAATTAGCTCTCTTAAAGTTGAGCATTTTATTTTTCCCGTGTGTGCTTGTTGTTTACAGCTAACAATGAATGAAATCATGTAATGGTTACTGCTACCCAGATGTTCTTTTATATGGACATTAGTAATAAGCTGTGCATGGTTTGAAATTATCAGGTCCAGCAGAGCATTATTCCTATTTGGGGCCTCTATGAACTGTACCATAAAATTGTCCTGTAGTAGGTTTATAAATGTTTGCCCTTTAAACTGTTCCTGCAGTGCCATTACTCCAGTCAGTTTCCAGATAGTTAAAACCCCCCATTATTATCACAGGTGAACTGTTTTCCTTCACTATAAATCTTCTGTTTAAGAAGGGCCCACAAATTCTAAATAGGGTTTAGGTTAGGTGAGGAAGTAGGTCATCTCATTATTCTTTCATCTTTAGGGCCTTTACTGGCTAGCCACGCAGTGGAGTACTTTGATGCATGTGATGGAGCATTGTCCTGCATAAATATCATGGTCTTCTTGAAAAATGCAGACTTTTCCCTGCACCACTACTTAAAGAAAGTCTCAGTAGGTTTGATAGTTGAGTTTGAGTCCATCTTCAACCCAAAAAGGTCCAACTAGCTCATTTTTAATAATAGCGTACCCCACCTCCACCTTGAAGGCGTCTGAGTCGAAGTGGAGCTCTGTGTCCATTACTGATCCAGTAACTGGCCCATCCATCTGGTTCATCAAGAGTCACTCTCATCACATCAGTCCATAAAACCTTTGAAAAATTTCTCTTCAGATATTTCTTGGCCCAGTCTTAACATTTCAATGAATGTGTCTTGTCTAACAGATCTATCTTTATTAAAAGAGGCCTGTACTAAGAGAAATATGGAGGCTGCCATTGCTGTCTTCTATTTATACAGTACATGTTAGTTTCCTGGCTGTAATCCTAATCCAGTGGCTTCAATACTTTATGTCACAGACCTGGGATAAACATGCAGTTCAGGAAAGTTAGGGCTGCTTAACTAGATACTTATTCCAGGTCAGGGACTCTAAAATTACTAAATTTGTAGATTAACATGACAACCAGGGAACTAGTATTTTTAGAAAAAGAAGACAGCGGTGCCCTCCATATTTCCAGAAGGGTTTTGCTGATAGCAGTGTTTTCAGCCTACCCTTTATGTAATTCCCACTGATATTCACATTGAATGATTCAAAGATGCAACATAGGGTGATTTCCAGTTAAAAAAAAAAACTGACATGATAATATTTTGTATAAGAAGTGCAGTACCTTTGCCTTAACTAGAGGTGTATTTAGCAGTTCTTAGGGCAAAATAGCTATCAATGGCTGGCTGCCCACCTTCGAAATTAAAATATCCATTTAAGTTTTTGGTTGTTGCTTTTTCTTTATACCCTTTTTGGTTGCGATATAATCTTGAGTCACAGCGTTGTAGACTGAAACAGTTCAGAAAAATGAAATGAGCAAGTGAATTAAGCAAAAGATTAGTCTTAATAAAACCTAATGAAGTGCAATACAAGATGTTACATTTCCAGATTACATGTCTCCAGAGGGGAATAAATGAGACCTCAATTCATTTGTAAAACATTAATAACATTCCAGAGACCTGAACATGAAATAATCGTCTGTCTTACATTCATTTAGCAAAAGTGTTGAGCGGGGAATATCTTGTTAAAGATGTAAAGGTCATTTCATTTAGCGATGTGATTACAGTTTAAATAATGATTTGGAAAAGGTCTTGTGAATAAGGCAGGATATTTTTATTTCTAGGCACAGGAGCAGATACAACAAATGGATGACTTACAGGGAGCACTAGAGAGCAGTAAACAGGAGATTCAGCTTCTGAAGAGCAGCATGCAAACCTCCAAGCAGGTATTCTGGTTTAATTATGATCACTATTTACAAAATAACTTATGGCTTGGCTTAATTTTTGTAATTAGTTTTGATTTTAAATGAATTGATCACACATGAACTATTTATCTGAGCAAAGGATTCACATAGGGGGTTCCTTGCTGGCAAACTGAGATCCTCTAATTTTATAGCAAGGCAACAAGAGGTGAAGAACAAACCTCCATTTACATATCAGTTTTTGGTAGATTCTGGACGGTTAACCATCTAACAGTTCTTGTATCTTCTAGTGACTCTCACATCTATGCTTGAATTCCTGAGTCTTCACAACTGCTGTGGGCCTCTGTGGGGGATTTTTGTATTGCAATGCTTGTTTGTCTAATTTTTATAGAGAATGTAAAAAGGTGCTGGAAAGTGAGAAGGTATAGAAACAGAGGAATGATGGCAGAAAAAAGTTGTCTGCCCTTTTTTGATTTTTTACCTGCTTTTCTGCATTTTTTCATGTTTTATTGTCTGAAAATATATCCCAAGAATGTTTAACCCCTTGACGCCGACGTCACACAAATATGCAGCCTCACAGAACTGGGCTTTTTTCCGTGGTGCCGCATATTTGCGTACCTGTCTTTGTGCTGGGAGCGCGCAGACAGAAATTGCTTTACCAAAAGTACATTTTATATCTAATGTTACAAATGAAGCAGGTGTTATGATTGAGGTTCTTACACAGAGAAGCCACATGTTGGTGATTCAACTATGTGTGGAGTTTCTTAGTTGGTTAAACGATATGCCCTTCTTTTTCAGGGACCTCCACCCTATGCCTAGAAGGGTTACAAACAGCTATGCTTCCAACCTAAGTAGCCACATCTAGTTCAGAAAGAACAATATACGTTTTTATAGTAAGACACCAAAAGCTAAATGTGTGTGGACCATACTCCTCACTCTTCCAGACCCAACAAATGACCACACTGCCCTTCTCCTAGATAGTTTTTGTAGAAAAAGCATTTTTTTTTTTTTTGCAAGGTAGCTCTACAGAACAAGTTGGCTTGGAAAATCTTCTGATTACATACTGAAACACCCAAACCTAGGGCAAGACAGACAATGTCACCATGTAGTCTGGAAATCTGCATTAAAAGCAACCCAGTTTCCAAAGAGTACTACAATAAACAACTGCCAAATAAGTAGTTTACTGGAAAACATTATTACTAAAAACAAGAAAAAAACACACTCATTGATGGTTGGTGTCACTCTAAACCCCCTCCAACCTTAACCCTTTCGCAACAGCTGCTAGCGGTCTTTTAAGTGGGCTTTAATGCAAGGAAGCATTGTCACAGTCACATGATTAGGAGCTTGTCCTACTGGCTTCTGATCAGGAGCCATTACTGTGAGCTTTCAGGGACAGCATGGTTAATGTGTTGGCAATGTGATGTGGATGCATCTGGGTGGTGGCTGAATGTTAAAGGCTACTTTTTCTGCTGCTGCATATATGAGTTTGCAATTGGGAAGAGGCTTAAAAAACTAAATATCTCACAATCATTGATAGTCAGTGGAACAATAAACCCTGCTCACCTTTAAAAACTAATCTAACCATTATTGGTGGACAGTGGCCCTTTAAGACTCTCCACCTTTACCTATGATCTGTCATTCTTCCTTCCTGCCTTGTTTACAAGAATCCAACATATTTTCAGTGGAGGAGAGTGAGCTTCTTCCGTTGTGAATGGACTGAAATGCTTATAAACGCTACTTGCCATGGTTAGTTGATTTACTGTGATCACAAGGTACATCATCACTGTGATCTAAGCTGCCCAATCACAGCTCAGATCACAGCCATTCATGGTACAATGGCCACCCAAGTGTGTTTTCTGAAGTGCCTTCATAAATGGCACTCCAGAATTACATATCTTTCTCCTCACCATTTTGTTTACAATTTGGTGGTATGGAGGTGGTTAAAGGATAAGTTCACCTTTTAGACAAAAATAATAAATGCACATTTTTTTGTAGGTAAAAAAATGTTAATTTATTATTTTTGTCTACAGGAGCCTGGAAAGCATTGCACCAGTGATCAGTAGAGCGCTGATGCCATGCAGGTCTCCTGCAGACCTGTCAGATTATCTGCTTGTCGTATGGGAATTATGAGCAAGCAGATATTCTGACAGGAAATTTCAATGAACTACCACGGCGATGCACAGCGCCGTGGTAGTTCATTGAAAACTACAAGCCCACAGCCACTAAGGCTGTTGGGACTTGCAGTTCATTCAGTCACGCACGTCAGTGAATGAACGACGTGGCCGTGTGGCCAGACCCCCGAATGGCTGTGCTGTTTTCAAATCTGACAGATAGTACAGGGAAACTTCTCCCCGTACTATCTGTTGGGGGGGGGGGGGGGGCGTCGGGCGGTGGGTGGAACATGTAACATGTTCCCAAAAGTGAATTTATCCTTTAAGTTACAAATATGCAAGGCATAATATGTTCTACTCCCGACACAGGAAAGCCAAGCACAAGTAAAGGAAATTGAAGACAGTGTTGTACAGCGCATCCTACAGGAAGCAGAATCCATCATACAGGAATCCCTCCAACAACTGGATGAGCCAATTTATACCAGTGGCAGTGTGTCTACAGGTGAGTACAGAGTGACAGGCACTTACAACTGCAGTATAGACATCACCATTCTAAAGCCAAACACCATGTTTTCCTTTCCAGACTTTCTAATCTCCAGAACAGTAGCAGCTGTAGAGAGCACAGAGAAACTAGAGGAGGCATGGAAAAAACATGTGTCGGAAACTTCAGGTGAGAAGAAAGGATGGGAAAGGACCAAAAGATGTAAAGAGTATAGCAGGCAAGTGGAGGAAATGCACAATAGTTAGAGTGGCCTGATAAAACCAGAGGGCAGGCAAAATGGAGTGCAGTACAGAAGGTTTTATATAATAAGGTTTTGCCTCCTTTCACCTTTCTAGGTTGCTAATGGAAATCAAGTATTGCTTTGGGTGATGCATACAGTATATATATATATATATATATATATATATATATATATCCCTATTTCATTGCCAAATTAAAGCTCTAAATGTATATATAATCATGTGATCAGAGATTCATACAGTTCATGGAAGTGACGTTCCATCCTACATATCACACAAATCATGTGTTAGTTAATATGTTATAGTGTTTATTTTTTTTTCTTAGGCTTTGATTTCTTCTTTAAGAATATGATCAGAATGTTTCTGAATGCCCACAAACATACAAACACTAGAAGCTGCGACACTGTAGTTTGGGATGCTGTAATAAATTTAGCCATAATTATTTATTTTATAACCCTGGATGATTGAAAATGAAGATATTTTATACAGATATAAAATTGTAGAACATGAACAGTTAGTATATGAAAATCACAGATTTATCTGCTTATGTTTCTTTATTCCTAGATGTGAACTGTTTGTTGTCGAGTGTGGTTCAGTTTGCACATAGAATCAGTGATGTGATCCTACAAGGAGCTCAGACCAGAACCTCTGACAGTGAGTATCTCATGCTTATACCATTGTCCAGTGAAATTCTTATTTTTCAAGCAATTTAAAGTGATACTAAAGCTTCCTTTTTTTATATATATATAAAATAACAAAATATCATTTGTTATTTGCACACAGCTGCCCTGATCCTCTACTTTTCAGGTCCCCCGCCAGCTCTCCTGGCTCCTCCCCCTCTAGCAAAGCCCCCAGAGAAAGCTACATGCCTCGGGGCACCTCTGCATGCTCATTCCCGAGCTGCTGCTCTATACATCCATAATACACAGTCTGTGCTCATGGGTCCACTGGCTGTGATTGACACTTGGGGGAGCCAATGGGCTGCTGCTGTCTCAGCCAATGAGAAGGGAGAGTCCCCATACAGCTGAAGCTGTTGTGAACATTGCTGCTTTGAAGGGGGCTCAGTTAAGGATTGGTGGGGAGGAGCTGCACACAAAATTTTTTTACCTTCATGCATATAATGCATGAAGGTAAAAAACCTGGACCCTTAAGAACCACTTTAGTTTTTATGCCCAAATGCTGGGCACTGTGGGGCGAACTCTTGATGTCTGCACTCACAATATTTCCTCAGTCTTCCTGGTTGAGTGACACTGAGCATAATGTAACCACGTAGCTTAGGGCATCTTGTGGTAGAAAATAGGTTCTACATATAACAGCTCTGGACTGCAGTCCACTCAAAACATCTCAGTGTTAGCAAATGCAAATGTAGTCACTTTCCAGCTTCCTAAAACCATAGTAATGGCACTTCTATTTTATGGGTGACTATATGAAATAAAATTGCTATTGGAGTTTCCGTAGTAATCTCTTCTCCTCCAGCCTTTGACTGGACAGTGAAGGAGCAGCAGAAAATTAATAAGGTTATCTGTGTGCTCCTCTACCTTCAGTTTTAGTCTGACAAGCACAATGCAAAGCATTAGAGCCAAGAGCTCTGTGGTTCCTTCTCTTAGTCTCAATGCTGTACAGGGATTACATAATGCTGATGTCAGGATGTAGTTAGGTAGAAACACTAACTAGTATGTATAAATACATTTAAGGCTTTTTAAATGAAAGCATAACTGGATTTTTTTTTATTTGACTGTTCTGTAACAGTGTGATGTCTGTATTCACAATGCTTTAACTGTCTGTTAGCACAGTTTAATGTTCTAATAACAGTATTCTAAAATGCTTTGCTTGAGCAATATCCCCATCATGTTCTTTATCACTGCTGTTTATAATCTGTGCTTTTTCTTTTATCTCAGAGTTAAGTGACAGCTGTCGGACTTGTGGCACAGAAGCTCTTAACTATCTTTCGGGTATACGAAATAGAAAAGCAGATGATGAAGTGGACTGCAGCCATATTACTCTCACACTCAAGTTGATAGCTGATATTGCTCAGGTAAAGATGGATGGCTGCCAAAATTGGGAACAGATGACCAGGTGCTAGTGGTATTATAAAAGATGCATACAATGGACAGAAAATGGAACCTAACATCTATCTGGGAGAAAATAAAATGTCTGACTGGTCCCTTTGGGCACTTTTATTTTATTAATTTCTAAAAAAAATACCCTTAATTAAATTTGTCAGTAGCAATCACTGAAGTTTGACCTTTACGAAACAACAAACAAGAGTTTGGATTGGGCAATATGAGCAACAACTTCACTTTTGTGCTTATTTTCTGTTTTTAATTTTAATCAGCCCCAAGTTTTAGTGCCTTTAGACAATGTAGCAATAGACAGTGCCATTTGGTTAGCAAAAGTAAGCAAATCATTCTGGGAAGATGCCTTAAACTGTAATTTTTGTGTGACAACTTATTCTTTAATGAGAAGCTCTTTGGAGCCTGGGCAATTCAAACTAAGCAAATGGTAAAGAAAATCCATAAGCAGAGGTTGCTTTTAGTTAATACAATATGACAAAATGACTGGAAGATCTAGAGATATAAGCAGTTGGAAGTGTATGCAAACCTCCTATTGGAAAAGTTGAGCTTGCCCCACCATCTAAAAATACTGTATATTGCAAGAACTTCCCGCAACATTTATGCATGAATGTGACAGGGATGACTGTAGCACATAAGCTGGAGCAGAAAATACTTCATAATAGGCTGGAAATTCAATGTTTTCCATTGCACAGAACATTCTTTTGTTGATTACTGAGCTGTTTTCCTAACAAACATGCAAGTACTAAATCGGGATATGAGTTAAGAGAGGGTGTGCCTGTGCATAGCATACAAGAGGTTGGATCAAATTTGTCCTGGGAAATCTCGCAATTCTGCTCATCTATTGTCATCATTTGTAATGAGATATGTGTAAGTGGGAAAGTTCCTTTTGGTTCAGAGCATAATCCCTTTTTTGATTTATTTTGAGAAAAGTTGTATTTTTTCTGTAACAGCAGCTCCACTTTAAAGTATTTTACAAGGAATTTTAATCACATCTATTCCCAGTGGCCATGTTGTACAGGGATAAGAATGCTTGATTAACTGTAGTATTTACACAGTCATTAGTAATCAGGTGTAATTACGGTACAGAAGGGACCTCAAGTGACATGACCTACTTTGGTTAGAACTTCTGTGCCAAGAACTGGAGATCCCAGTCGTCATTATATTTCACACTATTTTAACATTTCCATAAATATTCCCCTTGGCTGTACCTCAGGGTTTTATTGAGTGCAGAGGAAAAGGATCAATTTACATTTTTAGTGCTAATCAGTAATATCAGGGGAACTCAGGGAGAGTGAAATGTTCATTTTCTATCCAGGATATCCCCAAGGGTTTCACTGACACCATCTCTCACACAACCCAGCTTCGCATTACTGTGCAAAAATGTCTCTCTCAATGACACACAGACTGCAGTTAAGAAATATGAATTTTTTCAGTATGACAGTGAAAACAGCAATAATAGTGAACAAAATGCACAACTGTGAAGGTAGCCAGCACAGTTATATACTTACCTTGTTCCTCCCTAAAGTGAAGTTGCCCTTTTAGATAACCCATGCCATAATAACTTGGTTGACACACAGTATATCCTGTCATAATTTGGATGTTTGTCTTTTAGGAGTTACGTCCTCCATCACTGGATATCAAAGAGGAGGAGTTGGGTGACCTAGTGGAGAAAGAAATGACAGCCACTGCAGCAGCTGTAGAAACTGCTGCTGCCAGGATTGAGGTGAGAACTGTGTTTAGTTAGTTTACTTGGTAAAAAAAAAATGTGCTTTCAGCATATTCTTACTATCATCATGGTGAATAAAGAATATTCTTAAACTGATGACACCCATGGAACCTTAGTCCAGCACGATACACAATCACCTATACAGTATTGTCTTAGAAATAGCTGGAGAGCTATGGTGCATGGTGCATCTGCAGATTTTTCCTCTTTAGAGGCCACACTGTCTTCCGTCAGTACCACATTCATATCATACTTACTCAAGCTGTGGACCACTGATATCACTTGTGCCTTTTGATTTACATTAGGAACTGCAGAGCAGTTCAGACACAGAAATGGTGTTTGGCTAATGACTCCCACATAGAGGGGAGACTTGCACTGATTATCTGGGCCTCGTCACAGAACTTTTACTGTGTTACTAGAACCTCTGGCACCTTATCTTTATCTGTTCCACAGCAGCAAGTCCATTCTGTGTCATGTAATCTGTTTAATGTTTCCAAAGCTGACCCCCAAATCATTGTTTACTTTACTTAAACTGCAAAATCATTTGAGACCTTAGGAATATGCAGGAGGACATAAGATAAGAGCCATGTCACACTAGCGATCTTGTTCCTGGCAACAGGATTGCTAGTGTGACATGGCTCTAATGGTGGCTACATACACTTCAGTTGTTTTTTTTATCCGATTGATGCACAATTTAATCAAAATGATCCAATCTGCAAACAATCGTATGGCCATAAGTTCCCTTCAATTGACTTAGACTCAATTTCGTTTGGCTGTGATCAAACTGAGTCGATGGGCCAGGGTGGAATAGTACCGATTGTTTTGCATCAGTTGGCAGTGCAGAGAAACTTTGTTCATGAATACAGTGGTTATGACGGACCGCCTGTCACCCCAATTGGGTGATTCCATCAGAGAACTGCTTCCTCGCCACTGGAACACAGGACCAAGGTATTATAGTTGGGCATCGCATCCAAGATTAGGCAACTCTAGCTTAGGTGCAAAAACTGGAACCCTTTATTGAACAGAAATACAGGTTTTTTTATACACTTCAGAAACAATTCAGTACTGTCCATGATACTTTTTATTTGCACTAACATACAGTTTTGAGGACAAGCTTTCGGGGTATGTCCCCTTCTTCAAAGTCCGAGCAGTACTATTACAATGTTAACATTGTAATAGTACTGCTCGGACCTTGAAGAAGGGGACATACCCCAAAAGCTTGTCCTCAAAATTGTATGTTAGTGCAAATAAAAAAAATATCACGGACAGTACTGAATTGTTTCTGTCGCAAGTGCACTAATACGGCTACAATCACCTCAAGCAAAATGGAAGATCCTTTATACACTTCAGAAACAGGGGCAGTCCCCACATGAACAATAAAAACAAATATCCCACACTGCATAGGTAAGAGCTTGATAACATTATCCTAAACAGTGTAAATGGTAAACAGTACAGCCAACAGCTAACAATGATCTAATTAACAGTAAGCTAATCAACAGCCAAGCACCCAGACAAGCCAGGGCCCCACCCCAGACAACCTGGCGCCTCCAACCCTGAATACACAAAGTACAATACACATGCTAGCTTTCACGTGTTTGCTTTCACCTGTATAATCTGTTTCATCATAAGACAAAACTCATACAATATTCCAACAGTCTGAAAAAGTGAAATTCATCTATCTTCATAGATTTCTTCAGGGAGATTGTTAATAAATATTTCTGTCCCAGAGGCAGGGCTTCTGTTAGAAGTCACTGGGCCCCATACAGCCAACCTGACAGGGCCCCCCAAAATAAACACAGTTTACTATGCTTTAGTTTATGAAGGAACACAGTGAGTGACCGGTACCGATCACTCATTGTGTTCATTCAGAAAGGAAGGGGCTGGTAAATTTGACATTATTACCGGACCCTTTCCCTGCTCCCCATCCTGAAGGATCCTATTGTTTGCTTGCAGCTGACAGTAGGAAGAACAGGAGGGAAGTTTGAAGCACTGTGAGGGTAGGGGGTACACAGGGGGGCCTGGGCAGCAGGGGGAAACTTTGGTGCACAGGCAAGGTACTTAGTGTGGCGGGGGGCAATTACTGGAACTGATCCGCTGTATAGCTCTCTCTGCAGCAGCTAAAAGCTGGCAGGAGGCAGAGGAGAAGAAGCCAGATTTCAGTTGCTGCAGAAAGCCATACAGGGGATCGGATCCAGTAATTGCCCCCCTGCCATGCCGATCACCCTGCTTGCCCACATCTGATGCACCCAGTGCACCAGTGGTAACCCCTTATCCACGGCCTTACGCAGTGGTATTTTGTTTGATCTGACTATGAGATTACATGGTGAAAACAGAAATACAAGCGATAATATCTGATCACAGGTTACCGTTATATCGTCACTATTGATCGAAATCCACTTTCCCGTGTGTGGCATATCGATTGAACAGGCTGTCAACTATAGATCAATTATTTCTGTTGGAAGAGATTGATAAGAAAAGAAATCAATCATTTATCAAGCACACATGGCCACCATAAGAGTGCATTGCTTACAAGCAACATCAGTTCATTGGCCGGTCACAAAAGGTCTCAGCGACACATAATTTATCAGTTAAAATAAAAATAATTGCATATCTGATTCAGACACAGATAAAAGTAATAGATTGTTCTTTGAAGATACTTTGTGTGACAGGATAATCATTTTTTTTCCCCTTAGGAAATGCTGAAGAAGTCTCGGACAGATGATACTGGACTCAAATTACAAGTCAATGAACAGTAAGATACTTATTTGTTCAAACACTCCATATCCAAGAGATAAAATGAGACTGAAGCCTATGTTGTGGAATAGGAATTCTTCTCAAAATGTGTGACTTTGTTCTGCAGGATTCTTCGGTCATGTACGGATCTCATGCAGGGAATCCACGCTTTGATTCTGGCCTCAAAGGATCTTCAGAAAGAGATTGTGGAGAGTGGAAGGGTCAGTATGTCCTTGTCCTTTGTGTGACTTCCTATTCAAACACATCACACAATCATAGTCCAGAGAGAGTCAATTTTTATGATGCATGTATTTGCAAAGATTTAATTGTGTGCTAATTATTTTTAGGGAGCAGCATCTCCAAAAGAGTTCTATGCCAGAAACTCACGATGGACAGAGGGGCTGATTTCTGCTTCCAAGGCCGTGGGGTGGGGGGCCACTGTTATGGTGTAAGTATATTATAGTAATCAGAAGACATCAATTTATAGAAGGATGGGATTGGTCCTTTCTTAGGAAATCACAAAGGCTGCTTTGCAGTGTCAGATCTTAAAGCAGTATTAAACCCAAAAGCAAATATTTATTATATTGCAGCTTACCAATCCTTAGACGTGATGGCTGCATTAGTATTGTATAGGCTTTCTTTCTACTATTTATATCTGGACTTACAAAATGTATCAGTTACAGCGTTGAGACTAAACATTACTACTGACAGTGGTGCTTATAATGATCAGCTTTTATTTATTGATGTCAAACCTTTATCCTAAAAGGTAAAGATCAATTTTGCTGTAACTGTTTATAAAGTGTTAGCTGGAGTTCAGCTTCAGTTTGCTATTTCTTATCAATCTGCTAGTACATCTAATACTCCCATTCCCAGACTGAGAATGCTGCTATCCAAATGTGCTCCCTGTGATCCTTCATACAGTGTGTAGGCACTCTAATACAGGAGGAGTGTTACTGGCAAGATCACCAAGTGAAAACAGAGAGAAAAAGAAAAAAAGAAAACTAAAGCAGTCATTAAATGTAATGATTGGTAAACTGCAATATATTACATTTTTGGTTTTGGGTTAAATACCAGAAACAAGAGAACAGAGGACCATTGGACCTTTTTAAATAACCTGCTGTTAGGATGCCTAGGTATCTGCCATCCCTGACATAGTGTGAACTGCTGCATGCAGCATTTTTAAAGGATAAATGAAAGGCCAGATTTCTTCATAGCCAGTCTAAGTTTAACTTAGACTGTGGCATGTGGCAGCACACATCATGTTGATGAGTGTCAGTAATACATTTTATGTAGCATGTATTTCATGTCATCCTTTGTGCCATTTGACCCTCATTGTTGCTCTCTCTGCTTAGCTTGCGTATTATTGGTGGATGAGGGCACTGTGTATTTAGAGTTTTCCCACTTTGGGTCCATACACCTAGATCCAAGCTGCTACTAGGGAGGAAGTATGAATTGCACTATGCTTCTTTTCATCCATTTTAGGTGTACTGGGCAGAGTGGGCACACTATCTTATTCAGCCTCTTTGCCCCAGCTCTACTCAGGCAGGAAAATCTGAATGTCTCGGTAGTCATATGATTGGGAACCAGTCTGCTGTAAGCGTGCTGTCAGCACAGAAACCTCTGCTCCCATAGATGCATATGTGCAGTGTGTAGGTGGTAAAGTCCACCCTATTTGCCACTGCACAAATGCGTTACGCACGCAGCAAGAGATTTCTGTGCTGAAAGTTCCACTTGTCTTCCTCCTCCTCCCCCCCCCCCCCTCCTTTTTTAGTTTTGGCACTTTTTTGGGGGAAGCAGGTATCTGGTTTTGACAGGTACCCGCTTCCAATTCTGGTCGAATTGCTACGGTGATTCAAGCAAAAGTGTACCCCCCCCACAGCCTTCTGGGACACATCACAGTTCCCAGAAAGCTGCAGGACCATTCACAAATCACAGTTTGATTCATGCATGTTCAGTGGGATGCCGGTTATAAAGCCACAGGCAGTCACAGCCAGCTTCCCAAAGTAAACATTCCAGCGCCTGGCACCAAAGACAGATGAGGATAACGCTGGATCCCTGGTCAGGTAAGTGCCCTATTATTAAAAGTCAGCAGATACAGTATTTGTAGTTGCTGACTTTTCATTTTTGACTTCAAGGGTAAAGAACCAATTTAAGCGGATGCTGGGTCTGGCAGGAAGGGGTTAAAAAAAATCACTGTGGAAAGATCATAGTACTATGACTGGCAAGCACTTACACAACACCAGAACCAGAGGCACTTTTGGAAATTTGACTACATTGTGATTGACAGGGGTTGGACAAAATTTATGGAAACACACACATATACACACACTAAAAACACATCTGGAGGCTAGAAACAATCTGAAGCTTGATTCATTGGACCATATTACAATCTCCCATTGAGCGATAGTCCACGCTTTATAGTTGTTGCACCACTCTCTCCACTTCTGAGCATTCATTTCAATTACTAGTGGTTTAACAATTGCAGCATGCCCATGAATGTTTTGCTTTTGAAGTTTCCTCCATGCAGTTTTTGTGGACCCGGGCTTTGGAAGACCTAGACTGAACTCTGCAGTCACTTTTGGAGCAGTTAATTTCTTATTCTGAGTCATAATCCTGCACATGACATAATTACCATAAGTGGTAATTGTAGAAAAATACACCAGCACAAATAATTTAGCAGTTTTATTTTCAGGCACAGTTGCCTTGGCTGCAGCTGTGTCTTTTGCTCAAAACTTATAGTGTAATCTCAAGACAATGGCTGGTATGGCCCAGGAATTGAATTATACTTCTGTCTAACTGATACTCTGTGCACTGATCATAGGCTGCAGTGTGCTTATCTTTTTACCTTTTTATCCCTAATAGGAAAATGTGGCCCAGGGGCATTTTTCTAACATTGACACCACCCTGTGGGGAATATTGGTTACATACCATATGTCTCACCTAACATGATACAGTCTCTTTTAACGACTTGCCCTCCTGAGGATTTACCCCCCTTCCTGACCAGGCTATTTTTTGCGATGCGGCCCTGCGTTACTTTAACTGACAATTGCGTGGTCATGAACACTGCACCCAAATTAAATTTATGTCCTTTTTGTTCCACAAGTGGAGCTTTCTTTTTGTGGTATCTGGTCGCCTGTGCAGTTTTTAATTTTTGCGCTATAAAAAAAAAAAAAAATCAGACAATTTTGAGAACAAAACAATATTTTTGACTTTTTGCTATTAAACATGTCCAGTAAAAAAATTTAAAAAAATCAAATTGTCATAAATTTAAGCCCAAATGTATTCTGCTACATGTATTTGCTAAAAAAAAATCCCAGTATGTGTAAATTAATTGGTTTACATGAAAATTATAGCGTACAAATGGCGGTGTATATACTTGAATTTTCTTTGTTGTATACTAGTAATGGCAGCGATCAACGACTTATAGCGGGACTGCGGCGGGCATTCTGACACTTGTTGGGAACTGACTAACTGCCACTGACATCCCCAGTGACAGTGCTAATAAAAAGCACTGACACTGTACTACTGGCACTTGGCAGAAAGGGTTAACATCTGGGGCAATCAAAGGGTTAACTGTGTGCTCTTTTACTGTGTGCTGTGTGTGCCTTTAACTGTGTCAGCACATTGCTTTGTATTGCTTTGCTATGCAGAGCAATACAAAGCAATGTGCAGGAGCTGACAGGGGAGAGATCTGTATTTACATACAGGTTTCTAACTCCATCAGCAATAACTGGGTGCCGGTGAGGAATCACCAGCCGAACCCGGTAATCGACACCTGAGGCCGCAAATGGTGATTTTGCACAGCCATGCCGCCTTGTAGCAGTATTTCTGCTATAGGGCGGTGGGAAAGTGGTTAAGGGATAAGTTTACCTTTTGGGAAAAAAATAATAAATGCACATACAGTATTTTTGAAGGAAAAAAAATTTATATTTATTAATTTTCCCTAAGAAGCCTGGAAAGCATTGCGCCCATGATCAGTGGATCAGGGGCAATGCCAGACTCCTGCAGACAAGCCGTGCAGCTTTCAGCCCATACCTTCATACTGGCTTACTGTTTACAAACTGCAGGGCTTGAGATTGAACTATGAGGCCGCTCAACAGTGACCCCGTATTCCATTCAGAACTGCAATGGCTGACAGTAGTTGGAGTAATTCAGAGGAAGTTGTGAATGAATGAATGACACAGCCGTGTGGGAAGAACCCCGCACAGCCGCGTTTTCAAATAGTGATGTCGGGCACCGGAGTAAATACCCGCTTGCTGTCAGGGAGGATGGGGGGGGGGGGAGAGCGGGGGAGGGGGCTGCAGCTGCTGGAAAATGTTTCATGTTCCACCCTAAATATGGGTGAAACATGTAACATATTAAAATAGGTGAACTTATCCTTTAAGTTCAGCTTACTATAAGATCTAAACCAGTGATAAGTTTGAATAAGGTCATGGAACAAATCCAGGTGCTTTCCAGGTACATCATTAAGAAACTGAATCACAGAATTACCTTCCTGGCACATGTGAATTGATGGCATACATAAATAAAGCCATAGAAATGTAAGGGATACCTGGGACATCGGTAAATGTACAGACACCGTAACATTTCTATGAAACAGAATGCACCTTACATAATCAAACAGAAGTGCGTATTGGCGCAGGAGAGGTAGTAGTGGGTATGCAGATCACAAAAGTCTTTAGAGGTGTGTAAGTAGTTCAGTTATAGGAGAGCATAGGGACTTCTCCGCGAGACTGGGGGGGGGGGGGGGGGGGGGGAGAAAAAAATATATACAGTTGCAAGAAAAAGTATGTGAACCCCTTGGGATTACGTGGAGTTTTGCATGAATTGGGCATACAATGAGCTCTGAACGTCATCTAAGTCACAACAATAGAAGAACACAGTCTGCTGAACATAATACTACACAAACATTAGTAGATGTTGCCATGGTTTAATTGCACATAACATGTAAACATTCACAGTGCAGGGAGGAAAAAGTATGTGAACCTTTGGACTTAATAACTGGTTGACCTCCTTTGGCAGCAATAACCTCAACCAAACATTTCCTGTAGTTGCAGATCAGACCTGCACAATGATCTGGAGTAATTTTGGATCACTCCTCTTCACAAAATTGTTTCAGTGTAGCAATATTCTTGGGATGTCTGGTGTGAATCGCTCTCTTAAGGTCATGCCACAGCATTTCAATCAGGTTGAGGTCAGGACTCTGACTGGGCCACTCCAGAAGGCGTATTCTGTGCTGTTGCAGCCATTGTTTTGTTGAATTACTGGTATGCTTTGGGTCATTGTCCTGTTGCATCACCCATCCTCTGCGGAGCTTCAGTTGGCGGACAGATGGTCGTACGTTTTCCTGCAAAATGTCTTGATAAACTCTGGAATTCATTTTCCCATCAATGACAACAATCCGTCCAGGCCCTGAGGCAGCAAAGCAGCCCCAAACCATGATGCTCC